GAAATAAAATCCCACCAATACCAGTGTTATTGCTAATTTATTACTTCTGGTACTCCTAAAGCCCCAGTTTAGTGTTTGCCAAGTTAAGTTTGGTGGTTTGGACCCATCTGCCACTGTGTGAAGAAAGCAGGGGCCTTCTAATTCTGTGAAAACGACAGCCAAAGAAACCAAATGGGGAAGTTGTTCTCTGTCCTACAGGGTCACTATGAGTACGATCAACTCAAAGGCAGGGGGCTAGACAGCCCACAGACAAGCCACAATCATCTAGAATCCGATGGCCCACAGGAAATAACGTATCAGCTACAACAACACACTCATGAAGAGCAATTGTGAGGATGGCAACAGACCTAGCAATGCTTCGTTCTGTTGTGCATAAGATCACCATGCGTCCGAACCTACCTGACAGCACCGTCAACAACACTATTTGTTCATATGGTAGAAAAGGGCTCTAATGGGATCTAAATCAGAGATGTTTAATTTAAAAGAAAAATTATCACAAATAAATTTGTAACATCATTTTTGGGGAAACTTTTTATTGTGGCTGCAAACCAGCTTAACTAATAATACAAAATTATTCTATAAGTCTTATTTAGATTTTAAATAATTAGTATTAGAAACAAGGGAAGGCTTTAAAAAGAATCGTACTTTTAATAATTAGGTGCTTCTAATGGCAAGAGTGAACTGCGATGAAAAACATGAGACAGCAACCATCTCTGCACTCTCATAGAAGACAGTTTGTTAGAGCCCAACCCGGACTCAGCTCTGCCAAGTGGCAGAAAGGCCCTTCCTCTCTCCTTGTCCAGACCAGGCAGCACGCCAAGCTTCACAATCCAATCTCCCTGAAGTGTTTAACACAGGAAGCCAAGACTAATTGGGTATGGGTTCCTGCCATCTCTTCAGTTTTGCCTTTTCTGTTCTCCAACCTCCTTCTCCCTCCCATATCACTCTGATCAAGCGATAAAGGGCAAGACCCTCATCTTACCCCATATTCTCTACACTTCCCCAGCGCAACCATACAAAGCCATCACCTGCCATTAGGGGGCAAGGTCGAGCCATGCCAAGCTATCCCCATAAAACAAATCACATCAGCAACAAGACAAATGTCAAGGTCAGATTCCCAGTTCTGCTCAGGCAGGGTACCTTTAATGGTTCCTGGACTAGATTTTGCAAGCATGGAACCTATGGCCATCAACACTAGTTTAATGTACACCACAGTTTAAATTATCCAGAAATCTGGATAACTACTACTGCTTAATCATTTAGCAGAGGTACTCTGAGAACTCAGCTTTCTCTGACCCAAAATGTACAGCATCCCTACCCCTAAAATCACCTAATAAGCACGAGTCTTGTTGGTTTGTTGTTGTTATGTGTCATTGAGTCGCTTGTGACTCATAGTGACCCTTATGTACAACAGCCCTAAATCCTGCTCTGTCCTGTGCCAACCGCACTGTCTCCAATACACCCATCCCGATTACCCCAGTCATGGAATCAATGCACTTCATAGAGGGCCTTCCCCTCCTGCGCCGTCCCTCCACCCACCCAAGCATGTTGTCTCTTCTCCAAGGACCAGTCTCTCCTTACAACATGTCCAAAGTATGTTAGACGGAGCCTCAGAATCCTTGCCTCCAAGGAGCCGCCCAGTTTAACCCTTTCCAGGATGAATCTGTTTGTTTTCCTAGCAGTCCATGGTACCCTCAATACTCTTCTCCAGCACCACAGCTCAAAGGCATCAATTCTCCTTCTGTCCTCCTTAGTCATTGTCCAACTCTCTGATGCATAACAAGTGATAGCAAAGACTATGGCTTGTATCAGATGCACCTTAGTCTCCAGAGAGACACCGTTGCTCTTCAGTACTTTGGAGAGTCCCTAATAACAGACTTTCCCATAGCAATACATCTTTTAATTTCCTGGCTACTAGTGCCAAGAGTGTTGACATGGAACCAAGCAGACTAAAGCTATGAAAAATCTCAATCTCTTTACCATCCATCCTGATGCTGCCAATTGGCCCAGTGGTGAGAATCTTTGTCTTCTTGACATTGAGCCTCAATCCATATTGGAGGCTGCAGTCCTTGACCCTCTGCAGCAAGCGCGTCAGGTCCTGCTCAGTTTCAGCAAGCAGGGTTGTGTCATCTGCATAACGTAGATTGTTGATAGATCTTCCACCAATCTTGAATTGACCCCACATTTCTCCTCATAGAGCCCAGCCTCCTAGATAATCTGTTCGGCATACAGGTTGAAAAGGTATGGAGACCGGACACATACCTGGCATACACCCTTCCCAATTTTGAACCATGCAGTGTTTCCTTGCTCTGTTCTGATGACTGCCTCTTAGTAAGAGAAATATTAACATTTAAGAGCAGTAACCTTTAAGGGAGTTCTGGTGGCTTAGTGGTATGAAGTTGCACTGTCAACCCAATGGTATGCAGTTTGAATCCACCATCAGCTCTGCAGGTGAAAGATGGACAATATTCTCCTGTGCTATTTCCTGCCTCTGAAAATCCACTTAAGGATCAGTTATGAGTAGGTTCCAACTCAACAGTACATAACAATAACAACAACTACTTGAATTTTCAGAACCTGAAAACCAGAAGCATAATTAACTGATTTGCTTTTCTCTCAAGTCTAAAGATCTCCTGACCATCAACTGCTAAGCTGTTTTACTTTTAGTCTGAGAGATTACTATATTCAGCTGCTCCCATCAGCAGCACTCTTTCCTTTCTGACATACAAAACTCAGTAAGACAAGATAGCTTAAAAGGAGCAGGGCAGACTGAGTTGTCAGTGAATCCCATTGGGCTGAGGAAGGTAGGTTTAGCCTTTCCTCAGTGCAATGACAAAACTCCACCCTTCAGTTATGTTCTTCACTTTCTCCTAAACCCATCATGAACTACACTTGTTCACACAACCCCTACCTCCTTCATTGTGTGATTACTTTAACTTTGTAGTTATTAATGCCTCTATTATCTCTATTCACTGTCATTATAAAATCATTTTGCTTATAATAATAGATAAAATTATTAAAAATTAAAACTCTCGAAGGGAATTGTGTCAGCAATTATATCTCTTCTCTAGCATAAAAGTCATATAAGTAGTAAATATTGTTCAGTTTCGAACTAACGGAGCTCACACTCAGTATGAAGAAAAAAAATAAGGCACTTTGAGTACCTTTTCATTATTGTTTAGCTTAGGAAAAAAGATAAAACTACATATCAGGAGCCCTTCAGAATCACCAAGTGAACTTCAGGATCCCTACCTGCTGAAGACAGAAAAATCCCTTTTCTGCAGAAGACTCAAGGAAGCTATGTTAGGTACATGGTAAGGAGTTGTACTGCTAACCAAAAGGCACGTGGTTCAAATCTACCAGGTGCTCAAAAAAAGGAAGGCTATCTTCTCCCATTCAGTTTTAAAGTCTCATAAAAATCTGCTGGAAGGTCAGCTATGAGTTGACTTCAACTTGAGGACACACAACAGCTACTATACTATTCAGAAGTTTTCAGGATGGTGGGAGAGGGAGACTCCAACTACACTGAAACTTGGTATCAGATGAAAAAGTTAATATATAGAGACTGACTCTTTACTTTAAAGTCACCTTTCAAAGACTCATAACAATTAGAAAATTTTTTTTTAAAGAAAGCATCCAAAATGGCCAATTAGAACACTATTATAAACATAGAGGTAGAATGAGACAGCTGTAGATACTAAGAATACATTTATATGTCAATAGTGTGTTTATTAATATATTTTTGTATGTTTTTTTAAGAAATAAAAACGGAATAGAAGAACTAGAAAGAAACACTTCACATTTTATCATTTGATCTGTAAGGTGTAGAATTTCAACAGTTGAAAAGGAAAACTGAAGATTTTCCATTCTATTAGTCTCTTGTATAGAATTTTATGAGTTGTTAATTTTTTAAAAAGCTGTTAAATAACTGCAAAAATCTTAAATAATGTTTTTCATCAGCTTAAGCAAGGGTTTTTTTTTATTTTTTTTTTAAACTCAGCTTCTTGCATGACTATACATTAATATATTGGAATAAGAAAGCTAGTTACATTTGAAGACTTGTATTATGCAGCCATTAATAAACAACATGCCTCTAAAAACTCTACAAACTTTGCTAAGTAATGACAGTTATAGAAAGGCTTCAGGTCTTCTGTTCATACAGTCACTATGAGCTCAGCTGTATTGTTGTTAAGTGCCGTCAAGTCATAGACGACTCATAGCAACCCTATGAATGAAAGACCTGAACACTTTCATCATTTCTCCAAGTTCATAGGGTTTTTGGAGGCAAGCTATTTTGGAAGTGGATGCCATTCCTGCTTCCAAGCTTATTGTAATCAGGGAGCTCCACCAAACACTGTCCACCATGGGTAACCATTATTACATTTGACACATTAGTGTCACAGTGTTCAGCTTCACAGCAACCACGAATTACCTCTGTACAGCAAAATGACAGACCAGAGCTATACCACTTAGAAGAATGTCTGACCATAAACAATTAGAACCATGCCTGAGGGCCACAGATTAAAAGCACCCACCTTTGGCTTGGTAGTCCCATACTGCTGACTAAATTTATTTTTAAATAGGAGGCTGAAACACATCATCTCACACTCATTAGCGAGTCAGCATTCTACCCTCACCCTCACCAGAACCAGCAAACAAGTCTTTGTAGAATCCAGCTTCTGCATGTGCTCGATTAGATGGCAACCAACAACATTACTGAATTACTATGTCAAGGAAATAGGGAGATTGTTCTTCTAAATTTGGCTTGAAAACTTGGTCAAATTTCCCAAAGTCTAACCACAAGATGTCTGAAGATATAGGAGAGAAGTAAAACAATCCAAAAACAAACAAAATAAGTTGTTTTCTAGCTTTTCCGCTGGTCATGAGAAACAGGAAGGCAAAGCATCACAAAACAAATCTCTGCATCTCCTGACAGAATTAAAATATTGGGGGGGGGGGGGAACGGAGGATCTATTTGATAAAGTGTAACTGTTTCTTACCTGATCACAAATCAGTTCCCATTTCTTCTCATTGTCATACTGCCTTAGTAACCTGGCTTTGTCAGGAGGTAGGTTCATAGCATTCTGTAAAAAACAAAGAAAAGACAGGTTGTGCATTAACAATCTGTAATGTGGTTCTAACAGCTTCCTTCAAATGTTTAGTATCTGATTAAACCAAAGCATCATACAGAAGCCATTTATTTAAGCATTAAATTGGCCTAATGGGAAGCAGCTCTGATAGGAGGCATGTGAGGAGGCTTTAAACAGACTTATAATTCAACAAAAAGTAATTATTTTTACATTTATCAATGGGCTGTCTTTCTATCCAACAAAGGACCAGAAGCTGTTGTTCAAAAAGGTTTGTCTCCAACAATGAGACAGATGCCAATTAAAACTACAATGAGATACCATTCCACCCCAGTAGCAGTGGCAAAGTTTAATAGGACAGTACGCTATAAATGTTGGAGAGGATGTGAAAAGATTGGAACACTTGTACACTGTTTAGGGATTGTAAAATGGTACAATCATTCTGGAGGGCAGTTTGCTATTCCTACTTAATGGCAGAGAATTAACTTTTTATTACGTTGGTAGATAAAATCCAAGCTGTTTCCTTTAAACTTGATCTAACATCCAGATCCTTGTCCATATATACCTCTTACTAACCTGTCTGTAACCTATCAAATTTTAGACCAAACAGCCTATCTTCAGAATATTTAACTTTTAATTATACTCCAAGTTGATAGCATAATTTGCAAAGCTTTGGACTCAAGTATTCAATGGGTTACCAAGGCTGCTCCACAGAAATACCTAAAATGAGGTGGGGGTGGGGTGGGAATGTTTTCATATGGCCTATCTCCATGGCCTATCTCCTTTCGCAGAGTTGCAATGAGTCCACACAATGGCACCTAAGAACAATTGTTACTAGTAGAAAAATAAGATCCTTCTTTCTATATCAACTCTTAAGAGGAAACAAATCATTCACTCAACAAATGTTCATGAAACACCTCCAGGTACCTGGCACTTGCACTGTGCTATATGATGGTGTCTTGTGGGGAAACAGACACAGCCTTAATGGAGTAATACCATATGGTGAGGGAAACTGGTATGAAACACATCTTTTAAAACTCTGTTAAGTCTTGAGATTTAACTACCAGAGGGCAATCTTAAACTAGATGTCCTCAGAAGACCTCTCAGAAAAACCAGCAACCAGTAAGTCTTAAAAATTGAGGCGTAAGCCATGTAAAGTGGAGGTTGAAGCATTCCAGGCAGAGGAGACAAAGTGAGAAGATGCTAAAGCTGGGTAGTCTTGCCACCTTCAAAAAGCTGAAGAAAGCCAGTATGGACTAACAGAAAGTAAAAGAGAGGGTGTGGGGTAGAAATGAAACTGCAGAAAAGAGCCAAAGTCATACCATGCTCAGTCATGCAGATGAGGGCAAACATTTTCACTTGATCTAAAGCACAATGGGAAAAGTCACTAGAGACTCTGAAACAGTAAATCACACAATTAAGCTGTCTTGCAAAGATCACTCATTATTGGTAATACGTGAAGAACTGAATAAAAACAGCGAATTTGGAAACAGGCAGACCAGTTTAAAGCCAAGGCAAGAGTTCAAGTGAATCATGGTGGTGACCTGGACTGAGATGATGGCAATTCAAAAGTGAACAGGTAAAAAAAAAAAAAAGTGAACAGGTGTCAGAAACAATAATTCAAATTGATGAATTATATTTAGGAACAATGTCAAGAATCAGTATTTTATTTCTAGTTTAAGAAACAGAATATGTAACAATTTAATGAAGAAAGGTACTATGGCAAAAGCAGGAACAGACGTTCTTTGTTATTCAAAGGGTCATAGTGAAAAAAAGATACCTTCGAGAGCTCTGGTGGCCTAGTGGTAAGAATTTGAGCAGCAATCTCAAAGGCATGTGGTTTAAATACACCAGCTGCTCCTCGAAAGAAGGATGAGCAATCTCCTCCTGTGTGATTTACTGCCTCTGAAAGCCCACTGGAGGGTCAGCTATGGGTCAATTCCAACTTGACAGCAAACAACAACACAGCTCAGCACAGGGAGCTGTGGTGCCTCCATAGTAAACTGCACTGTCAACCCAAAGATAGGCAGTTTAAAGTCATGAGCTGCTCTCCAGGAGAAAGGTGGGCAATCTCCTCCCATGCAATTAACAGCCTCTGAAAACCCACTGGAGAGTCAACTATGAGACAGATTGACTCAACAGTACATAACAATAGCATGGTCCAGTGCAAGTTTGAAGCACTATTGAAATATCCAAAAGAACACAGTCAAAAGTAAGCAAGCAGAAAAATAATACCAGAACTTGAGAAAAAGTTTTACAGTTAATGTTGAGTCGTCTTTTTGCATTGGTGACAAAGTTATGGTCAACAGAAGGAGGTCAACAATACTATAACAAAAAACTGTGCTTGGTAATCAATCACAAAGCATCTCAAACGACCTCTCCCACAGGTCAAGCTTCTGAGCTGTCTCAGACACTAGATTACTATTCAGGAAATGTGGGGAAGCGGCTCTGTTTAAGATTAGACACTCCAGGTGAGCTCTGGTGGCCTAGTGGCAAGAAGGTGCACTGCAATCCCAGAGGTGAGCAGTTTGAATCCATCAGATGCTCTGCCAAAGAAGGAGGGGCAATCTCCTCCTGTACCAGTCGGATCTGATTTTACGGTACATGCACACACACGAATAATAATAATATAATTAGATAGATAGATAGATAGATAGATAGATAGATAGATAGATAGATAGATAAAATATAATATTAGACACTCCACAGAGGCCTGGCTCAAGTACAGGAGTACAACATCATGAGTGACAGGATTATATCCATACGCTTACAAGGAAGTCCA